CGTATTAAATTAATGTACAATTCACTTTGGAATTCACTGTTTTCATGATATCATAAAAAACAACACGTTTACAGATTCTTCTGCCCATTCACGCTGAAGCTATAAGGAGTGTTTCAGCCCAGCTTTTTGAATGAAACACAATACAGGGCAGCCAGAATATTTACATACATCAGTCTTAACTACAAAAACAGTCTGATTTTGATTGTAAAATGAAATATGACTGAATATAAATGTTTTTGGGTCATAAAACCTCACAAATGTTATAAGCGGATATCAGGGAGAGAAATATAATGTAAGAAACATGTAGCATACGGGCCTTTTAAAGGCTAATTCTACCCATTTTTCATAATTTCAGAGTGTTTTGAAGTTCACTTTAGGTCACTGTGGAGAGATTTAGATGTCTTTACAGTGGTGGTGATAGGAACCAAGGGTCACCATGACTACAACACAAATACAGACATTTTATTTACTATCCAGAACCACCAGTGAACCTACACGAGTCTTCTGAGTTTATATGGAATGTTGATGATGGAAAATAGTGGAAAATCTGAAATAATAAGTTTTCTTTGGGGACTATTTTATGTATCCCTCCACCATGAATGTGTTTTTTAAAAAATAAGTTTCAAGCCAAAACATTATCTCAAAAGCATTATAAAACAGTGTCTCAGTCATCAGGCAGTGAATTCATAACCATTTCATGTAGTAACTTTCTGTGAGGGAGCTTTTAGAGGTGGACGTCTGGTTCCTATCACCACCACTGTGAACAGTTCTGACTCGGTACGTTTCTCTAGAACACCACATAAACATTAATTATGGAGAGATTCAGAAAAATTGGTGCAAGATATCTTTGCATATTTACCGACAAATAACACGTGAGTTTGTTTTGGTTACAGCCTAGTTTTGAAAAACAACAACAGTCTGACTGGTTAAATCTCCATGTCCAACGGCCCGTTCCTGTTAAAGTCGATCGCATTTAAGGACAAAGTCTGAAGTCTGGCTTGCGAGACTGCTGGTCATGTGGCTTTTCATGTAAAAATAACAAGCTATTACCTCCGAAATCAAGACGCCAGACACTCCAGAGAGAAAAGCCTTTGGACATATCTTCCATTAACAGCCTATAAATGCTATACCTAAGTAATAATAGTTTAATGACATTTCCCTTTATCTACAGTGCTTCCTCCCCTCTGTCTCTCTCTGTACTCAAGTATAATGTGTATAATGAACTGTAATGTCCTTGTGGGCTCGCTGTGACTGAACACCTGGATCTAGGCTCCTGCATGTCCACTACTTTGGTTAAGGGTAATCTCCACTGTTCTGTACGCAGACCCACAAAAAAATCTACATTTACATAAAAGCGTGTGTGTTTTCACACCACGCCGTACGTCGTTACACCTTAACGTCACACGTACAGGCTTAAAAAGAAGGTCTGGCTCGATGTTCAGGTTTCAACTGAGCTCAAAAGAGCCTAGAAAAGCTATATTTTCTCTGTCGAGGGTGAAACACTCACTCAGTGGAGGACAAATGCTAATAAGCTTTGGGATTAACTTGTAGCTTATGTCACTTTAGCAAACCTTTTACAGAGTGATAATTATAAAATCAGCAATCAACACATCACTGTACCATCCTAGTTTACATCCTGGCACACTTACTGATCATGTGGTAGTGACTGGGAACTTTTTCTTTATCTGGAAGAACAGATCATTTTGTAAACTGTTATGACCTTCAGCTACAAGTATCGCAAGATACAGAGGAGAACACCTCAAGCTCCACTGGGTCTCATTGGTACCACACTGGTACTTTCTGTGCTGGAAGAGTTGCACATGAAAAACAGCAATTTTATTTTATTTTGTGCAACGGAAAATATCTGAAGCAGAGTACAAGCAACCCTCCATAAAAGGAGAATACTTTTGTTCTGTAAGCACTTCAGCTGAGAATAGCAGCACTTTTTTCCAATTAAAGCTGCCCTATTTAAAATGGTTTTTGTTAAAACTAAATCATATCATTACCAAAATAGTTTTTTTTTAAAGTCAGAGACGTCAGATCGGATTTCGCAAGAGCGCCTCACACCACGTCGTACGGTTTCACGCCTTAACGTCACACGCACAGACTTAAAGAGAAGGTCCGGCTCGATGTTCAGGTCTCAAATGATCTCAAAAGTGTCCAGCAAAGTTATATTATAAGGATGAAACACTCAAATAGACAAATGCTAATAAGCTTTAGCATTAACTTGTAGCTTGTGTCACTTTAGCAAACCTTTTACAAAGTAATAATTATGAAATCAGCAATTAACTCATCCTAGTTTACATCCTGGCACATGTATTAGTCATGCAGTAGTGACTGGGGACCTTATCTTCATCTGGAAGTATAAAGAATTTGGTCAATTGTTATGAACTTCAGCTGGAAGTAGTAGTTTTGGTGCTGGACCAGTAGCACAGTATATTATGCACAGGAAAAATATCTGAAGTAAAGCACAAGCAGCCCTCCATAAAAAGAGAACGCTTTTGTTTTGTTCTGTAAGCACTTTAGGTGAGAATAGCAGCACTTTTTTCCATTTAAAGCTGCACTATGTAAGATTCTTTAGTTATAACTGAAAGAAGTGTCATTACTAAAATAGTCCTTTAAAAGTCAGAGGCGTGAGATCGGATTGAGCAGTTTTTTCACACCATGTCGTACGTTTTTACGTATTAACGTCACACAGACAGCCTCAAAAAGAAGGTCCGGCTCGATGTTTCGGTCTCAAATGATCTCAAACTCAATATTATACTGATAAAGATGTGATGAGAACAGTAGATAATTCACTCACATCCTCAGAAGACGCTCCATCACCAAGTTTAGACTCTTTGAAATTTCATTTAATCAGATTCATCTGCTCAGGGAAGCGGTCCAAACCACAACCCATGCTACATAATGTCCCTCTATACATTGCATGCAGTTACACATTCCCACCAGAGAGGTCTCCAAATCCCCAAATCTTACCTAGTGTAGCTTTAATCAGTTTGGCCGTGGGTTAAAATGTGACAGCATAAACAGCAGATGTGTCTTGTGACTCCTGCCGATGTAACGGGTAAAAGGCCTAGTTGTCATGATGACAGTGCAGTGTTAGCATAGTGCACACGTGTCAGACTTCAGTGCTGGTGGGCCAGAGCACTGCAGCCTTCAGCATTCTGCCTCATTAAAAACAACTGATTCAACTCATCAGCTAATTAGCACGGCTTCCGTAAATTGCATTCAGAGTGTTAGACGAGAGAAAATGCTAATCAGAGCTAAACATAGCACGACACTATGGAAAGTGGGAGTGTGTGGTGTAAATGGACCTCTATGGCGTCTACACCTCAGTCACACACAACGAAAAATAGACCCGCGTGAAAAAAACGAGTGAGGGTGGAATGGGGTGCGTTTTGACGGACGCGGGATGCGTCTAGAGGAGGCGGTGTGGTTTGAAACATTGATTTAATGGAGGCGTTTTCTGTTCCATCAGACAGGAAATGTTTCAGAAACACCTTTGGTGTGAATTGGCCTCAGCACAAAGTCTGTTATCATGTGCATATCATGAAGACGGTTTTCCTCCCTTACACCGATCCATGTTTCTACACTCACTGTCCATCTTATCAGCTCCACTGACCATATAGTTCCACTTTGTAGTTCTACAGTTACAGACTGTAGGCCATCTGTTTCTCTGCATACTTTGTTACCCTGTTCTTCAGTGGTCAGGACCCCCATGGACCCTCACAGAGCAGGTACTGTTTGGGAGGTGGATCATTCTCAGCACTGCAGTAACACTGACGTGGTGGTGGTGTGTTAGTGTGTGTTGTGCTGGTCTGAGTGGATCAGACACAGCAGTGCTGCTGGAGTTTTTAAACACCTCAGTGTCGCTGCTGGACTGAGAATAGTCCACCAACCAAAAATATCCAGCCAACAGCGTCCTGTGGGCAGCGTCCTGTGACCACTGATGAAGGACTAGAGGATGATCAACACAAACTGTGCAGCAGCAGATGAGCTATCGTCTCTGACTTTACATCTACAAGGTGGACCGACAAGGTAGGAGTGTCTAATAGAGTGGACAGTGAGTGGACACAGTGTTTAAAACTCTAGCAGCACTGCTGTGTCTGATCTGAGTTGAAAGGTGGCCACATGGTGAGCAGTTAGATCCCATTGTTTTGAAGTAAATGTGTCCCAAAGTCTGAAAATCAGTGTGGAACATTAAGAATCGTCATATTTTCTGCAGTTCAGCACTTTTTAGTGTTTTAGTGTAAAATATGATGATTTTCTGTGTGAACAGCTGTTCAAAGCTGAGTATTTGAGCTCAAAATGAGCTAAAATTGTCACCGAAACAGTCACTACTGAAACGCTTGATAAAGTCTGGGTAGAGATATGATTGATTTGACAGTCACTAGTTTTAATATAATAATGATAATTAAGGTTTAGAGCCACTCAAAGCTAAAGGATTTTAGTCTACGTTCCAAGATCAGATTAAAAAAAAGTCCTAAATGTGTTTTCAGCTGTAGAAAGGTGCACACTTAAAAAGATGGTTCTTCAAGGGTTCTTTAGCAAAGAAAATGCTTCTATATAGAACCATGAACACTCAAAGAACCTTTTTTTTCAGATTGATGGAAAATGTGCATAAATGTGCTACAGATTCTACAGAGCACCCAAAAGAGTTCTTCTACTGTTACAAGCTTGACATGACAACAACACAAGAACCCTTTTGGGTGCTATATAGAACCATTTTCCAAAATGTTTTTCTTAGAACCACCTACAGCACATTCTCCATCAATCTGAAGAACCCTTTCACCATGCGAAACGTTCTTTGGGTGTTCATGGTTCTATGTACGACCATTTTCTTCACTAAAAAACACTTACAGAACCAGTTTTTGGTATATAAACCCACACAAACATTAAAAGTGGATCAAACCAAGGAAAAGTAGAGTAACAGACTTTAAGCCGTTTTGTTTATGTAGATTTCCGTAGCTGATCACTGGGACGCGAGCGCGTATCTTTACCTGTACACTCAGGGTTATGGCACTCGCGGCTCTCGGCCCAGTGACCGCGACACTCTGAGCCTCCGTGAGCCGCGGCCGAGCACTGACGCTTCCTCTGCTGCGTCCCGTTAGCGCAGGTCACCGAGCAGTCACTCCACGCACTCCACTCCTGCCACTGACCGTCCACTGCAGCACGATGACAGCGGTCAAAGCAAAAGGAGGAGAGAGGGAACAACAGAGAGTCAGTGGGTCGTCTTAGGCCAGCACCATTTAACCTCATACAGAAATGTGTATTAGCAGCTGCTGAGTTTAAAAACAGCAGTTTCAGAGGCCTCGCTTCATTTATTTAACTTCCCATCAAAATAGCTTATAAGTGCAAGTTAATTACTCCTGAGGAGATAAAACACAGTCATAGACAAGAGTGAAAATAAGTTAAAACATCTTCTACATGAACTTAAATATGTTATATTTCTGCAAATTGTGGTGCATAGTTTGATGCTGGAAAATGAATAGTTTGTACTTAATGGCCATTTTGGATGATAAATAAATAAAGTGTGGTCTCTGACAAAGACAGAAATCTGTAGATCCCAAAACAGAAACCATTCACTCTCAGAAAAAGGTACTAAAGTGTCACTGGGGTGGAACCCTCAAGGGTCTACACTCTCAGAAATAAAGGTACTACCTCAAGGCTCCATCTCAGTACCTTCAGTCAGGGAACATAACTGAACCATAATCCACTGAAATGATATGTTCTAAGCTGTACTGACTCCACACACCCCGTCTCGTCTCCAGGCTTTTATTTTACTGTTCTGTTTAAAACATTCGGTTATGAAAAGGTACAAATACAAACTTTTCACCTGGAAACACTTATTTAAGGTTCACAATCAGACCTTAAAACCACTGTTGGAGCTTTGAGGGAACATTTACACCGTTTGCACTTTGATGAATGAATACCTTTAGTTAAGGGACAAAACTGTACCATAATTTATTGCAATTGCATTTTTTAAGCTGCATTGGCTCCGCACTTCCTGTCCAAATACAAACATGTATGTTTCTGTGGGACAAAAATTCTTGAAATTTAGAATCACTGTTGTACCTTTAAGGGAAGATTTACATTGTTTGCACCTTTTTTTACCTGCACAGCACCTTTTACTGATAACGTACGCCACTCAAAGTCACTATAAAGGTAGTATCTCTAATAACAGCTGCTACAAAACACTCCACACACTTCTGTGGGCGGACCATGGTGAGGTCAATTAAGAGTCTCTCCACTTGTTTTCAAATAGCTTTAACCAAAGCTAGCATGAAGTACATTAAGCCATACTGCAGGCCCGAAATGAGGGGAAGGATAGATGCGGTCCATGTGCCTCTCTTCCTCTCAGCCCTATATGGTGCTGATGACCGTTTCATCGCGGCTGCTCTTCATCGACGGTAAACGCTGGGGTCAACTCGTAAGGGCCTGGACGCAAAAATATTCTAACCGGTGTTTGGCAACAGAAACGTGCACTGGATGAGCCGACGCTCCAGAGAAAAAGAGGCGCTGTGGAGAGAAAGAGCTGCTAATTGCCCGGCTCTTTTTCTCTTTTTTTCCTGCTGAATGGGCCGAGGCTTTTAAGGAGACAAACAAAGCAGTCTGCGATCGGACGGAGCGCAATCTGTCAGTTACCCCGGCGAAGCCAAACATTTGCAGTGCGAGGAAACTCATCATCGCTAATCTGCTTACCATTCATGGCCAATTGCAGCTAAGTGATTTTCACTTCAGCCCAGACTCTGTAACGCCGGCTCTGCTCTTTAAAGCGGGCGTGCTGTTAAAACTTGCCGCCTGCGTCCGCGCTCCTCCGTCCTGCCCAATAAAGCGCTCGGTAATTGATCCTGTAATGTCGAAGCCAGAGGCAGCTGGATATAATGCTGTTGCCGACTCCCGAGTGGCACCTCGATGGGAGATGAGCTTTGATTCTTTACGGGGTTTAGGAGGGCTGGAGGATAGATCAAACGTGGAGGGGCGCCCTTGTCGGCCCTAATTCCGCCAAATCATTCTCGGAGGACGGCGGCTTCCACCGCGTCCAAAATGAGCGGAGTGGTCTTCAATTTACAGCGAAATTGAATACGGTTAGCGGACGGCGAGAGAGGCCGAGGACCTCGGGGGAGTGTGGTGGGATTGGATTTGGAGGAGTGCGGTCCACCAGGAGGGCAGACAGTGGACGGGAGGCGGGGCAGAATATGAAGGAGTGGACGGGAAGAAGGGAATAGTGTGTTGGAAAGGTCCTTGTCAGTGCCTGACCTGTGAATCTCAGAGTTTACAGAAGGAAGCTGCACTCAGACAGCTGAGAAAGTCAGAAATACAAGAGTGACAAACCAACAGGATGTGAACACAGTAGGCCCAGCAGGCTTTGGTCCATCTCAGCAGATATACACACTGTTATACACAGCTGCTGATGATCATCCACAAGCAAATAACTGGGCACTGACTTGAGGACATGCCATTTTTTCTGACTTTACAAGTTGATGAGGTCATCCAAAAGCTCTGCCATCTTCCTTTTCCAGTTTATGGTGTTTTAGGATGGTTTTGGATTTAATTATGACCCAAAATAATAAAATCTACACGCAAAATATTGCAAATAAAAATAACACTTAATTTCCGAAAAAGATCATTGCTCATTTTCACAAGCACTTTTTGTAATTTTCTCATTTTTTTCTATATGCGGATTGTTATTTTTCATGCTTTTTGAAGTGGGTGTGGCTAAGGTCAGCCGAGCTGTCACTCCAAAAAAGCTGACCAATAGACACTTCAAGGGATCGCCTTCTTCAAAGACCCACCTTCGTTTAAAAGGTGATTCCAGAAGCAACGTACTGCAAAATCGCAAACAGAAAGATTGAAAGCAAAGGCTGGAAAAATGTGTGAAAACGTGAAAAACCAAATCTGATTTTAATACTTCATATCCTGGTTGAAGACACTGCTCAGTGAAAGACAATGGAAGCCAAGCAGAAGCGCTGATGTTTGCTCACGTGTGTGGAATGGCTGCTTTTGCAACTGCTGTTATAATTATTTACCATTAACTTGGAGAGTTGCCTGTTGGCTTGGTGTATTGCGTTCATGTGGCATCAGACAATGTACTGTGTTACACCACGACTCTCAACCTTGTGCAAGATTCCCGCTTGAGCGCAACGTCCATGTAGAGATTCACAAGTTTCCAAGCTTGCAACTTTCCAAACACAATGTAGATTATTAACAACACAGCACTAGACACCAAGCATCAGTAATTAGCATTAGCAATCTAGGTGGTGGTCCATAACGAAATGACTGTACGTGAGTTGGCAAAGAGGGGGGCAAAGAGGGGGGCAAAGAGGGGGGCAAAGAGGGGGTCACTCTGTGAAAAAAGGTAAGAACTGCTGTTATAATATGACACGTATAATAGCAGAAGTGGTGAAACAGCTGTTCATAGCACTGACCTGGGCAGAGGGCGATGTTGCACAGTTTGCTCTGCGTCTCCGGGCCGTCGCAGGCTCTGCCGCCGTGCTGTGGGGGGGTGCACACCCGGGTGCGGGTGCGGTGACCGCGGCCACAGGTAAAGGAGCACAAACTCCAAGGAGACCACTCCTCCCACACACCGTGCACTGCCAACAGAGGAAAGAGGTTAGGACACTCTGGTAGAACCCCCCACACCCACTCACGCACCCCCAACACCCACTCACGCACCCCCCACACCCACTCACACACCCCCTACACCCACTCATGAACCCAACACACCACTCATTAACCCACCACACCCACTCATGCACCATCGACACCACTCACCCCCCCTATACTCACTCATGAATCCAACACACCCACTCATGAACCTACCACACCCGCTCACACACCCCCACACTCACTCACGCACCCCCACACCCACTCATGAACCTACCACACCAATAATTAACCCACCACATCCACTCATGAACCCACCACACCCACTCATGAACCCCCACACCCACTCATGCACCATCGACACCACTCACACACCTCCATACCCACTCATGAACCCACCACACCACTCATACCCCCCCACACCCACTCATGAACCCACCACATCCACTCATGCACCGCCAAAACCACTCACTCACACAACACCCACACCCACTCCTGCAATTCCCTCACACACCCCCACCCCCACACACACACCCCCAACACCCGCTCACACGCCCACATACACACATTAATATACTTTACACATACACTAAAGCCATACACACAGGCACACCCACCCATACACACTAACACACACTCATAAATACACTTCCATAAACACACCACACACACAAAAGTTAGTGACCTCCTTCAGTATTTCATTTCCAGTCAAAACAGCCATTAAGTCCAAATTATTAATTTTTCAGCACCAGAAAAAAAACATATTATTAATCTCAGCTTCACTCTTCACCTTTATTCCAGCTTCCATTCTTCTCAGGAGACTCACTTTCAGCTCCTCAAAGAATCTGCAGACACACCTCCAAAGTTCAGTCTTAGAAGCTGGTTGATCATTTTCTGAAGTAATCAAACACATTCAGTGACGTTGAGGTCTGGACTCTGGGGTGGTCAGTCCATTGTCCAGCTTCTTTGTTTGATGTGTCCGTCTCCTTTTCTCAGTGAGGTTCTTCTTGATCAGCTACACATCCTTTCAGACCCACAGCGCTGAGTCGTCTTCTCACAGTGGAAGGATGGACAGAAACACCTGTGGATGTTTTCAGATCTGAAGCAGCTTGATTTTCTCCTCTCTCTCAGAGATGAAAGCTTTAAGTGCTGTTTATCTGATGGGGGCAGTTTTGGGGTTGACCAGGTCTTGCATGGTGGACTTTCTCCTTCCTTATGCAGGCGGATTATCTTATATTTAATCTCCTCTAACTCAGTGGCTGTTTTGACTGGGAATGAAGTGAATGAATGAGTCTGACTTCTGCTCAGTGCTGTACATCCACTCATACACATGGACCAGAGTTTGAAAAATGCTTACTAAGAATCAGTGAAAGGCACATAAAAGCAGTTAGAGCGACCGCAGCTTTCATCAGTTGTAATTGCAATAGACTAAGAAGTTCAAAAGTTGTTTCAGTCGTCTTTGTAGGCTACTTTTTCACTTTTCAGCTGATTTGGGAATTTCAGATTATCCCCCTCTTTTTCACAGGCAATCTGCTGAGGCTTTATTAAGAGAATTTAAATGAGTACTTTTCTAGTAGAAACTACAGAAAGTTATTTCATTGAGGATGTGAGGAAAGTTCTGCGACTCAGTAAGTCTCTTAGGCTCGAGGCTGACTAGTCCACTGACTAGATTTACAATATTGATACGCCTTAAATTTACTGCAGAAAAGTGTATATATGCATTGAGATACACACCGATCAGGCATAACATTCTGACCACCTCCTTGTTTCTGCGCTCACTGTCCATTTTATCAGCTCCACTTACTATATAGGTGCACTTTGTAGTTCTACAGTTACAGACTGTAGTCCATCTGTTTCTCTGCACCCTTCTTCAGTGGTCAGGACCCCCATGGACCCTCACAGAGCAGGTACTGTTTGGGTGGTGGATCATTCTCAGCACTGCAGTGACACTGACGTGGTGGTGGTGTGTTAGTGTGTGCTGCGCTGGTCTGAGTGGATCAGACACAGCAGTGCTGCTGGAGTTTTTAAACACCTCAGTGTCGCTGCTGGACTGAGAATAGTCCACCAACCAAAAATATCCAGCCAACAGCGTCCTGTGACCACTGATGAAGGACTAGAGGATGACCAACACAAACTGTGCAGCAGCAGATGAGCTATCGTCTCTGACTTTACATCTACAAGGTGGACAAGGTAGGAGTGTCTAATAGAGTGGACAGTGAGTGGACACAGTGTTTAAAAACTCCAGCAGCACTGCTGTAACTCATCCACTTGCACCAGCGCAACACACACTAAAACACTACCACCACGTCAGTGTTACTGCAGTGCTGAGAATGATCCACCACCCAAATAGTACCTGTTCTGTGAGGGTCCATGGGGGTCCTGACCACTGAAGAACAGGGTAAAAGGGGGCTAACAAAGTATCAGAGAAACAGATGGACTACAGTCTGTAACTGTAGAACTACAAAGTGCACCTATATAGTAAGTGGAGCTGATAAAATGGACAATGAGCGTAGAAACAAGGAGGTGGTCAGAATGTTATGCCTGATCGGTGTATGTATATGTATGAATGTATAAACAGTGCAGGTCATGCATACGTATTTGATGAATTCATCATGGCAGTAGCTTGAAAAAACGTAATTGTATTACCATTGTTTAATCAAGAGAGTCATCGAGGATTTTTCAAAATTTCAGTGTGTGAGATGTAATCAGAGTGATTCAGAGTAGTTCGGTGTGAAATGGTTCAGGTGTCTTTACAGTGGTGGTGATAGGAACCAGGGGTCGCCATGACTACAACACAAATATAGACATTTTATTTACTATCCAGAACCACCAGTGAACCTACACGAGTCTTCTGAGTCTATATGGAATGTTGATGATGGAAAATAGTGGAAAATCTGAAATAATAAGTTTTATTGGGGACTATTTTGCCTCACAGCGCCCTGCATGTATCCCTCCACCTTGAATGGAGTTTAAGTTCTCTAAACCACCATAAAACAGTGTCTCAGTCATCAGGCAGTGAATTCATAACCATTTCATGTAGTAACTTTCTGTGAGGGAGCTTTTAGAGGTGGACGTCTGGTTCCTATCACCACCACTGTGAGCAGTTCACACCAAACCACTCTGAATGACTCTGTTTACAACTTAACCATCTAATTATGTAGAAATTTTGAAAAGTGGTGGAGTTCGTCTTTAAAAGCTGTATTGGAGCTCGAGGGCTGGAGCGGTGGACTCAAAGCAACAGCACAGGAGCTTTGCGCTTTAGGCTGGAACTACGGATGGTTTGAAGGGTCAAAGTAGAAAAAATGTTACCGTCGTTTAATTAAATTAGTGGTGTTAATAATTTACCTCGTTCAAGCACGAACATCAAAACCACTGGTCATAACATATGGAATTATGGGACAGATTTCAGGCACTTAAGCATAAGGTTTGCCCAAACTGGCAAATTTGATTGTTTGGTAAAATTACATGGTTTTCTACGAGATACGTCATTTACAAGAAACACTATATGTGTGTGTATATATATATATATATATATATATATATATATTTACCAACGCATTTAATTCTCTGTAAAGAATGTTTTAACCTATATAACGTATATTTATATTAACAAATTTTTATATTAACTTCTATAATTATTATTTATTTATTTTAAGTAATATAACACTTTACAGAAGAGAGAAAGAAGCTATTAATTGTGATGATATTTTATGCAAAGGACCATTTCTATTAGTCCACTGGTCATAAAGTGTTCACGTAATGTAGACAGTGGTGGGTATTTTCAAATATTTTCAATTCTAATATTTTTAAATACATTTTTTTGTATAACAGCAATAATAGTCATCCTTTAACAGCGCCTCTCTCACCATCCCCCACTCCTTACAGCGCAGCGTCTGCTGGAAACCTTGACTGAAGGCTGGCACCATTCTGATGCAGAGGCATCTCTGAGTGCGCTTATCAGACTCCCAGGTGTGCGTTCACTCTCCGTGAGTGAAACTTAATCTGGTCATCAGAGTCAAGGCCACTGGCCTGCCCCCCCCCAGCCCCCCCCCAGCCCCCCCCCCAACTTCACTTCCAACTATCAAAGCCCACCGTCTCTCTCTCTCGCGCTCTAATTGCATAATGAAAGCTCAAGTCCTACTCAAACACTTTTTAATTAAAAGCAAACTCCCTGCGCACTCGCCACATAAAGGCAGGACGGGGCACCTACGCGGGGGCCGTGGCGCGGGATCAAGGAGCCTCCGGAGCTTTTCATCAGCCACTTCCTCGTCCGTGGCTAGATACGATCGGGAGAGTTTCTGAGAGTTCGGCTGTAAGCTGAGGAATGCGAGATTAGAACGAGACCCTGGGCAGTTCCTTCCGCGGCAGAGGCATATTTTTTCAAAAAAGTCTAATTACTCCAGACACCCACTCCTCTCACCTCCCGTACAGGGTGCGGTGCGCACTTTCAAACTGCTCTCCTCCAGAAGGTGAAAAGCTGAGGTGAGTTTAGTCAATTTCCAGTGGAATGTCATAATTTCTCACCATTTAAAAGGGCCGAGATTCAGGTGTTGACCTGGCTGCTGTTCAGAAGGTCTACTGTAATTCTTCTACATTACTTTAAAAGACTCTTCTAGGGTCAGAATTACATTTTTATGACCAATAACAATACCAGTTTCATCGACTGATACTGTTTAGAAAGGTGAAACAGTAAAAAGACACCAAAAGCTTTACACTGAAAAAATCAGCATTTTTACGGTCGAATTACAGTAAAATTGAATGGTCAATTACCGTTTTCTTTTTTTTAAGGTTAAATGCATGTAAATAAGCCATACATATTCTCAAATCTCAATTTTTGTCATTTTTTTTAACCCTTCATAATGTGTTAATATTTCATGATAAATGGACCAATAGAAATGCTCCAAAATATCTTACTCCAATAACTTCCATATAAAGTTAAGACTGTTTTTTCTTCTTCTGTAAAGTTATTATTTTGGATTATGTACTTGAACACTGCTGCTGTTAATCTATTTCACACACATTTGTGTTAATTTTTATGTTTACTATGGTAAAATACTGTATGTCAGAATAACTAGTTGAATTACAGTAAATGGCCGTTTTCTAAGAAATTAAATGATTGTAATTTTACAGATTTTACCACCACAGGTTTTGTCTGGCACCCCTGCTGTTAGACTTTTACCATTTTTTACAGTATAGTTAAACAGTGTTTTATGACAGAAAAGCTTATCAATTGCCATTTTTTATATTTAGTCATTGCCAGTAGGTCTCCCCCATCACACAATGCTACCGAGCTAGGAGGGTGAAGACTAACCTCTATGCTTTCTACAAGACACATAAGGCGGGTGCTGCATGATGGGGGGCCACCAGAGAGAGCAAGGACAGTTACGTGGTCTTTGCCTCCCAACCATGGATGGTTGTGGCCTCACCGGGGATCAAACACGCCACCCATTCAGGTTCTACTGTTAATTCTGCTACATTACTTCATAAGACTCTTTCAGGGCTCGACTGATGGGATCATTTTGTGACCGATTTTGTAACGATACCGATATTAAGGAGTTAAAAATTCAGACATTCGCTAATGACGGTAATATACAACTTAACATGGTCTAATATTAAACCAACGCTGTGAATGATGGCAGGGGAGAAAAGGCCATCCTATCCACCGCCTCTCGAGAACCCTGTTCAGGACTGCTACTGCTGATTTTACTACATGACTTTGTAAGAGTCTTCTACGGCTCGACGAACAAGAAGATTTTATGACCAATTATGCTACTGATTTTAATTAACAGCGTCACGCTAAGTGATGGGAGGAGAAGGAGGGCCATCCTACCCACTCAGAGAGAGAGAGGCCAATAATGCTGGCTTTAAATCCTGGTCATGGGTCTCCAGACTCTTGAGTCTTCCATTTATGTGGTCTCTGACTCCCAACCACGGATGGCTGCGGGGATCAAACTCAACAGTAGGGCCAGATCTTAGACGAGAGCGTCACCCTTTCAGAATTTCTACTGTTGATTCTGCTCCATAACGTCATAAGACTCTTCTAGGGCTCAACTGATGTGAACATTTTATAATCAATAACAAAATCGATGAGTTAAAAAACTCTTACTAGATATCAGATAATACTGATATTATATAATTTTACATGGTCAAATATTTAACAGACGCCCACGTTGGCTAGCACTGCACTGAGTGATGGGCGAGAGGGAGGGCCGTCCTACCTGCCCAGACAAAGCGAGGCCAATTATGTGCTCCTCGACTCCCAGCCACGGATGGCTGTGGCATCGCCAGCGAACAAACTCGATATCTCCCGATGACATATCTAAAATTTTGACGATTCTGGTGCATTACTTAGTAAGACTCTTCTAGGGCTGGACTGATATGAACATTTCATGATTTTAAAGCGTTAAAAAATACAGATATCCGATAACATCAGGCTAGCACTGCGCTGAGTGATGGGAGGAGAGGGAGGGCCATCGAGAGAGAGCAAGGCCAATTATGCAACACTAGACACGGATGGCTGTGGCATCGCCAGCGAACACACGTGCTGTCTCACTAAGAGGGTCGCACAAGCTGGGAGCCCATGATTTTGTTATTTTAACCACAATTATGTTTTGTGTTCAGAATTAGTTCAGCCTGAATTGCTCATGCAGGCACTAACTATCAGCTTAGTCCTCTTGAAAAATGTACGGTTTTAACACAAATACAAATACAGGTAACACTTTAGGCTAAACCCTGCTACATAAACATAAACATGTCATGGCAGATGCCAAATGCTGTCAATAACAGTCATAAAAGATTATGTGCAGTAATATAATAGCATCATGTCACCATTACCCATTACTGAAATTGAAATAAGGCAAAAATTTGCATGTGGCATAAGCTGTCATATCAAACGTAATGTCATCTGTCATGACAGTTAACAACAATGGTAACACTGCTCTATTACAACATCTATTATGACAGCATAAGAAACCTGCCTTGACATGTTACCAGTCCTAAAATCTGATTTGCTGAGACGTGTTCGAAGCCGTTATATGATGTGCGCAGCACCGAGTGTACTGATGAAGTAAGAACCCCTTTTGTGTTTAAACTAAGGGTCTGACAACTTATTTTCTTTACTAGAACTGGGCAGCTCAGCTAGCTAACAGGCTAAAAGAGTAAACAGCCTAAACAGCTCCATCATTAATATCACAGACTTAAATTAAAGCACTGACTGTGTGATTTTCTGTAAAACTGCAGTATAAAAGTCTAAAAATGTCACTTGAATGTTTTACACAGATCAAATGTTCGTGTTTCAGTCAGAAGTCGCGTCAAACCCAGGCTGAATCCCAAACGGCTCTGTACTCCCTAAATAGTGTTCTAGCTATGAAAGTTTAGAAATTCTAGCCTCTACAGTCAAACAGTGCATCATGTATCGAGTGTGGATGAGTCTGAGTCCCAAATGACTGTTTCTTAGCTGTATTTTGCTCTGTTGGGCTGCAGGATCCAGTATTTGAACTCCTACGTAGTGCACTATGTAGGGAGCAGGGAGCCGTTTGAGATCCAGCCCCAGCGTGAGAAGAGGGCACTATTAGCTTGGTGCAAAATAAGACTCGTGGTGGTAATTTGGTGACCAAAAAGTACTTATAAAGTGAAAGTATTTGCATTAAACAGTGTTGTGTTATCATATGTTTACTGTTACATGACCAAAATGTAAAACAATTCATGAAATGACCACAATGTACAGTGATGGGCGACCAAACGTTCTCCTCATTCGGCGGTCCATGATTGCTTGGCAATGATACCATACTCTAAAGGAGCTACATTTCTTGGCGGAATACTTGTTTATGTCGATTATTACTAATAACAAAAAGTATTTACTGAAAAAATGTGTATTACGTCGTATTTTGTGTTGGACGCTGTTTTATAAAAGCAATAAGCCACTTGGGGCTGTGCGTTACAGTGATGTCATCATGGGGATGGAGGTAAAATCACTGTAATGCACGGCCCCAAGTGGCTTATTGCTTTATTATGTAATGCTGTGTAGCAGGGTCCAAGTAAAGTGTTACCCAAATACAGTACAATAAAAACATCATTATTATTGCTACTTTATTGACATAACTTTCATGTGAGACCTTGATAACAGCCGATATACTGATCAGGCCCGAGATTCTTCATGACATAACGGCACATTACTGCCTCTTACAATGAAAAAGCGAAAAGCTCTGGGCTGGCTCCATTACACTTCAGCCTAAGCAGCACCAGAGGGAAAAGGGATGGTTTTATTTGAGCAGCTCAATATGTTCCTGTTCTTGGTCTATATTTACAGTGGCACCGAGAGCCACGGTCATAGTTTCATTGCATTAAGCGCTCCTGGGGTAAAAAAGACTTCTGCCATTTCGATCTGCCTGAGTCGGCCCAGTTACAGCCCCCCTACTGTAAACCGCAAAGCTGATCTGCGCTGAACTTTTAAAACCGCACTGTTTCTGAAAATCATTTTGTACCCGTCCTTCAAAGGCCAAGAGGAAAATTCGGACCCCGATGGCACGAGCCATTCCGACACTTCATCGTGGGTCATTTTGATGCAAAGCAAGCGAGTGGCAAAAATGTCAGGCGGCGCTTAGTGGAGGAATTTTAATAACAACGCAGGTGGTAAATTCTTCCCTTGACCTGGTCTAAGAAATGGCATTTCAGAAATGTTTTATTATTCCACAGAAGGTTCAGGGAATTTGTCCTGGTCCCAATATGGAATAATGCTTCTGCAGCTGATTTAACCAGACGACCAATCCCAAGGTTTGATTTTTAATCCAAGTTACTTGATAGTGTTCCCAGAATACGGCAATAAATCCATCTTTTACATTTTTGCGAGGTCATTTCTTGAAATCAGAATGGGAGTCGGAAACTCGAACCTGTCAACGCAGAATGTAAATCGAATGAATCATGAACTTATTATGTATCTACAACATTATTAATGCTATTTTTTCTTAATAGAACAGCAAAACAAATGCAACTCCTGGCTGCTAAAGGGTTAAGGAGCTGCCCTGCATCGCTTGTAAATATAGCCCTGCTTTTTCCCCACAGACAGTGACAATCCAATTAGCCGGAGAACCAAATTCCGAGATCATATTTTAAAAAAAGAGGCCTGACTTTTCGTTCGCGGGTGCCGTTTCTTCTTCCTTTGTACTTTCAGCTCCTCAAGAGCCAAAACTAGAAGACAGTGTCTCATTTCTCACTGGTGTGGACGTGGAATACATTGTGACGGAGTCATGATCCTGTTATCTACTGACAAATTGCAACTTCATACATTCCCACATCAGTTTAGTTAAAGGAGTGGCAGATGAAAGCGATGTGAATGGCCTCACGTCGACTGAGAAAAGAGATGAAATAACACAAAACATGGCATATGACAAACAGCGGAAATGATCTAGCGGAAAGAAAAACGTCTCACAGTGCACTTTAGAACAGAGAATGGCAGCAACAGTAAGAAATAATAATAATAATAATAATAATAATAATAATAATAAAATCACATGACAACAGAATTCAAGGCAAGAAAGATAACAAAAACATTTCCTAGCATAAGAGATGAAATAGATATATATAGATAGATGTGTGTGAATGTATATATATATATATATATATATATATATTTGAAATAAATATATATATAAATAAATATAGAAATAAGACAAGAAGTGACAGTTCGTGCATCTGCGGCTAACACTACCTGGACAGGGGGCAGTGTTATTGCAAACCCTTGATTCTCTTAAAGGGCCGCTGCAGTGTGTTCCGTAAGGTGAGACACATGTTCTTGTTCGCACCTGCGACCCTTGACCGCATGTAACTGAGCAAGAGCTCCACTGGGACCACTCCTCAGCACCTGGGTCACCTGTGTAGGAGAAGGGTGACACCAGTTAAAAGCAGCAACAAGGTCACATGACAGCCCAGGGGGGGTGGGGCCAGTAGGAGCAGGTGGGGCCTAGCAAAGTTACAGGAGAGGCCACACGGGGCACGATAGCAGGGTGGGTGAATCTCCCCAGTTCTTGTTGTGATCTTGCATGAATGAATCTACTGCATAACCAAATCCGGAAGGTTCTTTTGGTTGCCGAGGTGGCCAAAAGCTAGCCTGTCCATCTGAAAGTGTCACAACAAAACCTCGTAGCCTTTTCTACTAAGGACAGCTGCTTTAATTTACTGGGAAATGGGAAAATGATCTGAAATTGGCCAAAATTACCAATTAAATACTATAAACGTCCATCCAAGGCTGTTTTCTCCTTCTCCTGTAAGGTTGCCGTTTTTCAGAGACGTGTTTTTGTTACAGCGCTGACAAAATTCGCCTTCCATTCCATGCAAGATCACAGCAGGTGTCGAATGCGTGGCCACCATGTAACTTCAGATACCAGAGCAGAGCTGGCGCTTAAGTTCAGATTTAAGGGGTGCTGGGGCTAAACTTCATCTTAGTCTGTAAAAAGTAAGGCATGCAGACAACTTGATGAAACCAACTGAAAGAAGAAAAAAGGAGAAGAAAGAAAGAAAGTCAACAGAACTAAGGCTAGAAAAAATAAAGCATAAAACATGATAAACATGTAGGATGCATGCATGGCTTCTAAAAGTTAGAGAATGACCTGTGATGAGTGTTAGTTTGCAACCGGCTACAGTTCCGCTGCAAAGTCTAGGCTCTTGCGTGACCTTGAAGACAGGCCGTCGGAGCCCGGAGTTCAGAGTTGCTTGGATTAAATTACTATTGACCCAAGATTGACCAGAAGAAAGTCTCCTTGGTGCTCAGCAGATCACAGCAATTTAGTCCTCGCGTTCGCTTCACTCTGAGTGAAGACGGTCAGGATACGCTACGGAAAAAAGGCCCATTTCACGGCTAACGTCCTTTAAAGCGAAGCCGATCAGCCGCTAAAGGATCGATGGAGCGTCACCGATACCGAAGGGAGAACTACGTTACTGAAAATAGGAGGAAGAAGACTGACTGGGTTGTTTTCTTAGCTGATAGATTAACACGTATCAGACAAAGAAAAGTCTGTCAGTAACAATTTATAGATATTTATAATCATATATCATAAATATTTGCTATTTTATTTGTTGTAATTCCCAATAAGCAACTGCATGGCCATACCGAATGCAAACGGCATTTGGAATTCCGCTGAATCCAGTCACGAGTGAACATATACACTATATACACTATATAATTAGCTTTTTTCCCCAATGAAGTTTATTATTGATCAATTTAATTGCCATGTGATACCGAATAGAATGGGAACAATGATTTCAAAACATGACCAGCATGATCAGGGAGCCTTTTATTAGACTAATCCTGCTTTTTTATCGCCGACCAAACATACTTGATACATTCTGGTGGTGAAAATTTTGGGGACATAATTCAAAACGTCCTTTAAATTCTGGCTATGCATTTTTTTTTTAATTTTTCAAAACTTCAGTGCTCTGAATACATTCAGATGTGAAGTGTACACTGACATTAGTGACAGTTTATTTATTCCGTGACGTGTAAACATTACATTTTTAAGCATTACTGGGCCGATCAGTGATTGGGTTGAAAAGTGGATCAATTTTTATCCTTTTTTTTCTAATGAGGTGGTACAACAACTCGGATGATCTGAAATGGTCAAACTCAAAGCATAATGAAGGACGTGTTGTAAAAGCGAATTTAAAAAAAGAGTAAGGTGGATTAGGATGAGAAAAAAAACACTGTTAGGGTTTGGTTTGCAAAGTGATTTGCAACTTAAATGAGTATGCGCAAACGTACTCATCTGACACATGATCAAAATAACAATAAAGGAGGAAAAAAAACAAACAAACAAACAAGAGAAACAGATATGAACCTTCCCCTCCCCCAGGGATATGCCTACATATCAAACATTGCGCATGCAGAAAAAGAAAGAATGGAGGGGAAACACCTGAGAAAAAGTCATTTAAAAGAAATTAAAAATTGTTATTTGCTGTATATGTATAAATATATCTTGGCCACACTACTGTTATCTTTGTTATTAAGGAAAAAAAAATTAGACATTTCACTTAACGACCATCATGCGGACTGGAATTTACCTACACCTTCTAGTGAAAGGAAGTATGCAAAGCTTTTGGGCTGAGTTACAATGAAAGAAAACACTGAGACTGTCGTCTCGGCTGGGCTTTAATTTTTCTGAGGTCATAACGGACAAAAGAAATCAATGTGACAAAAGCATCTTTCACTTAAAAGGTGCAGTATAAGAGAGAGAGAGCATGCAAAGTGACTTAGATGAAATTAAGTTTAGTTAACATCATAAAGGAAAGAAACATAACTATTGTATTACCAGTTTGTGCCATAAATTTAGCAGACTCATCTCGCTCCTGTTGGCCCTTTGTGTCATGAACTGATCTTGGCCGTTGGCTTTTTACAGTATGCTCTCCGATCATTCCAAATTCTAGAGACAGAATAAAGGGTTCATGAAAACTAGGCTTTGATACAAGATTCTTCAGAGAGAAAGCAAAAAAAAAAGAAAAAAAAAAAGAAAAAAATAGCTTATAACAGTTCTGGCAGTGGGTATAATAGGTGTCGCAGTTGGCAGAACAAAATCACACATGTATAACTTTGTTTTCGTTTGTTTTTTATAATAATAACTCGGCTAACTGCCTTTGGTTTTACTTTAAATCAAAGAACAATGGTTTATCAGTGGTGAGTTGGGAGCATTAATTGAGTTCGACAGCACAGCTAAGACACATAGCAACACATGCAAATCAACTCACATTGGCTTTTAACAGGATGTTAATTATTTAGCCTCCACCCCTCCCTCCTCCCCTCCCCAAGAGAAAAGGGGGTAAAAAAAAAAGAAGAGAAAAGAAAATGAAGGTAAAAATGTGCAAGCCATCTGAAAAGCCACATAGGAAGGAGGGGGGAAGGTGGGGAGGGGCAGGGCTGGGGGGGGGGGGGGGTGGGGTGTAGGGGTAGGGCGAGGGGGTCATGGACATAACATGCTAGATTGATCCACAGTTTCCACAACAGATCGGGGCTTTTTGGGGGTAATTAGTAGCTAAGACCCAGAATTAGTCGAGGAATTATGCGCCGCTGTATCTACCAGAATGTCATGGCAAATGAATATTGAGCTGTACACTCATTCGTTTCATACTAATTACTGTCTTGTTTCTTTCTTTTTTCTTTTTTTTTTCCTTTGCAATTCCACAACATGGCTTTATTATTTCTCCCTGTGCTTTCGTCGTTCATAATTAATAAATCAAAAGCATTTGATCTTCAGAAATGTCTTATCGTGATTTGAAAAGATTTAATCTTTCATGCGTCTTTGGAGACGTGGTGTATAAATAGGCTTGTTCTTAGAACTAGGCTTAAAACGCTGGCTGAAATACTGAGGGGGAAGCAGATCATACAGTTTTAGCAGGTATCCAACACAATGTTTGATAACAGTCCATAAATACATCAGAAAACAAACAAACAAACAAACAAAAAGCAACAATAAAACAGCCATGCTTCCATCGCTAATTGGGAATTACAACCGTAGGTCACCGGCGGAGAGGGAGACGGCCAAATGTCTCTGCCTCACTAGGCAAAAACGAAGTTGTGAAAGCGTACAGAACATCCCCCACCTCCACCACCACCCCCCGCCATCCCGCCTCAGCAATTAATCTTCATTAAGAAAGGGGAAGGGAGTGCTGGGAGCATCGCGGACGAGGGCGACTGAAGCTGAGGCGCCTTAAAAGCTCTGCTGAAAGAGGTGCAGTGATTGTGGGCCTCCAGCTCGAAGGCTGAAGGCATCATCTGGGTCTTCCAGCATTCATTAGGACGAAGCGCGCTAGCCTTGACCTACACTAGGTGGGTGTACCAGCGCCTCCGACAACTTCTCTGCAGCCAACCTATTTACCTCACAATAAAAACCCATTCGTTTGAGCCGGCGCTGCTTTCGGCAGTGCCCGGAGAGTGCGCTGTATAAATCACTCGCGCTGCCACAGCACTGGAACATAAGTCAGAGAAACATTATCAATGCCGGTGGTGGAGCCTGCCCTCCAGCCCGAGACTTTTCATTCAGTTATAGTACGGCACACCGGAATGGCATTTGAGGGAGTAAAATATAGACCTGAGCTTAGCAATCATTTAACTTTTTTTCTATTTATTTAATTTATTTTTTATTTTTTTGCCCCCTCGGTCTTTGGCGCCCACCCAGGGCACTTTAATAGATGTTTCCATCTTGCGGGATCAGTCTTCACAGTGCAAGCACGAGGTATGAAAGCTCCTCAATCATCGGTCTGGCGAAAGGGGAACTCGACTGAAATCCTATAGGTTTATGTTTGTCACTAAGATAATACAAATGATTGAATATAACAAATTCACTGCTGCAAGCTAGTGTTGTTTGCCATTTCCTGGCCTGTTTGGTAAAGAACTCAGATACCCAAAATGCATCACTACAAGATCACGTGCATGCAATACACATCTCAGTGCAAGCTACACATCGGTTTAACCATGAGGCCTGTGTCTGTATGCAAGACACACACTTATATGCCACTCATAAGTGGCCTATGTAAAAAATGAGCCAAGCCCAAAACACTAATGGTGTTTACTGACGGTTCTGGCTGGTCAGAGTCCAGATTTAAACCCTATAGAGAATATTTGGTCTCATATTAAACACAAACCAGCTCAGCAGTGTTTTTCAGCTGTTTGAAGCCGTCAATGCTGAGTGGATCAAATTTACACACAATTCTTTAAATGTTGAAGTTATCAGAGAGAAAAGCTCTCCCACACTGACTCACTGCAGCTATTTGTCTATTTAGGCTAATCTACTGACTAATGATCTGTTGTTAAGACCATTAAAAGTTTAATGCTGTGCCATTTTGTTTCAGGCCTGGCCCATTTTGTTTTGCACGGGAGTGGATGCACAATACATACTGGTATTAACACGTGGACTAAACTTGTATGCAAAATACATACCGGTACCAAAATGAGTGCTCTGTAAATGCAAGCTAGTACTATTTGGTCCAAGACTTTATGCAAGACACATACCATTACTGACATGTGGACTATACTTGTGTGCAAAATACATACAGGTATCAACACGTGCACTGTGCCTTTAAGCAAGATACACACCGGTATCAACAGGTAGACTGTGCTTTTATGCAAAATACATACTGGTATTAACATACTGGTCTGTGCCTGTATGCAAAACACATAAGCGTATCAATATGTGCCAAAAACATGAGCTAAGCCCAAAACACTGGATGGTCTGAGCTGCTTAGAGTCCACATTTAAACCCTCCAGGAAACATTTGGTCTCATATTAAACACAAACTAGCTGGTCAGTGTTTTCCAGCTGTTTGAAGCCGTCAATGCTGAGTGGATCAATACTGACTCTTCTTTCTGTAAATGACTGTCTGCAGGTTCACACACTAAACTACAACATTTAAAGAAATCAAAGAGAAAAGCTCTCACACACTGACTTACTGCAGCTATTTGTCTAATTATGGCTAATCTACTGACTAATGATCTGTGGTTAAGACCATTAAAAGTTTAATGTAGTGCCATTTTGGGTTTGGACACCGGAGTGTATGCAAAATACATACCGGTACCAAAATGAGTGCTCTGTGAATGCAAGCTACTATAATTTGGTCTGTGACTCACATACTGTTATCAACACATCGACTATAGTTATACGTAAGATACATACTGGTATCAATACAGTGACTGTGCCTTCATGCAAAATACATACTGGTATTAACATGTGGCCTACGCTTGTGTGCACAGTACATACTGGTATTAACATGTGGCCTACGCTTGTGTGCACAGTACATACTGGTATTGACATGTGGCCTATGCTTGTATGCATAATACATACTGGTCTTAACACATGGCCTACGTTAGTTTGCACAATACATACTGGTATTGACATGTGGTCTATGCTTGTATGCCCAATACATACTGGTATTGACATGTGGCCTATGCTTGTATGCATAATACATACTGGTCTTAACACGTGGCCTACGTTATTTTGCACAATACATACTGGTATTGACATGTGGCCTACGCTTGTGTGCACAGTACATACTGGTATTAACATGTGGCCAACGCTTGTGTGCACAGTACATACTGGTATTAACATGTGGTCTATGCTTGTATGCCCAATACATACTGGTATTAACATGTGGCCTATGCTTGTATGCATAATACATACTGGTCTTAACACGTGGCCTACGTTAGTTTGCACAATACATACTGGTATTGACATGTGGTCTATGCTTGTATGCCCAATACATACTGGTATTGACATGTGGCCTATTCTTGTATGCCCAATACATACTGGTATTGACATGTGGCCTATGCTTGTATGCATAATACATACTGGTCTTAACACGTGGCCTACGTTATTTTGCACAATACATACTGGTATTGACATGTGGCCTACGCTTGTGTGCACAGTACATACTGGTATTAACATGTGGCCAACGCTTGTGTGCACAGTACATACTGGTATTAACATGTGGTCTATGCTTGTATGCCCAATACATACTGGTATTGACATGTGGCCTATTCTTGTATGCCCAATACATACTGGTATTAACATGTGGCCTATGGTTGTATGCCCAATACATACTGGTATTGACATGTGGCCTATGCTTGTATGCATAATACATACTGGTCTTAACACGTGGCCTACGTTAGTTTGCACAATACATACTGGTATTAACATGTGGCCTACGCTTGTGTGCACAGTACATACTGGTATTAACATGTGGCCTATGCTTGTATGCCCAATACATACTGGTATTAACATGTGGCCTATGCTTGTATGCCCAATACATACTGGTATTGACATGTGGCCTATGCTTGTGTGCACAATACATACTGGTATTGACATGTGGCCTATGCTTGTATGCCCAATACATACTGGTATTAACATGTGGCCTACACTTGTGTGCACAGTACATACTGGTATTAACATGTGGCCTACGCTTGTATGCACAATACATACTGGTATTAACATGTGGCCTATGCTTGTATGCCCAATACATACTGGTATTGACATGTGGCCAACGCTTGTGTGCACAGTACATACTGGTATTGACATGTGGCCTATGCTTGTATGCACAATACATACTGGTATTAACATGAGGCCTACGCTTGTGTGCACAGTACATACTGGTATTAACATGTGGCCTATGCTTGTGTGCACAGTACATACTGGTATTAACATGAGGCCTACGCTTGTGTGCACAGTACATACTGGTATTAACATGTGGCCTACGCTTGTGTGCACAGTACATACTGGTATTGACATGTGGCCTATGCTTGTGTGCACAGTACATACTGGTATTAACATGTGGCCTATGCTTGTGTGCACAGTACATACTGGTATTAACATGTGGCCTATGTTTGTATGCACAATACATACTGGTATTGACATGTGGCCTACGCTTGTATGCCCAAT